ACGTGCAAAATATGAGCTATAGAAATACATAGTGCCTACTTTACCATCTCTATGTGTAACGAAATAATTGTGCAAGCATTTCTCATCCTTAATTGTATGACTATTCCACATCTGAAGAAATTTTGTGTGATTCATTAAATAATGTATTAAGTTAGTGCAAATTTTCATGTGACTCTTATTTGTTTTGAGAGTATAATAATAATACACAATACCCTTCAGTTGAGAGAAATGGAGAGTATGAAATATATACCATATTTTTAATACACCCCATTTTTGCAGAGCATGACAATAGGATGCCATGCAACTCTACCCTGTAATTAAAATTAATATATAAATTATAAAATTAAGTCAAACAGGCATTTAGTTTAGTTTGTTATTCTTATGGCTCAGTGTTGAATGAAAAAATGCCCAAGAAGTGGCATCTACTATCCACTATAGCTTCAGTGCCCCAAGACCTTGCTATCATTCCAGTAATAGTTCCTTAATCCCCAGAATTATCATGGGAAAACAATAAGGCAGTTGCAGCCAGCTGTTTTGGTAGTTCCATCACCATCACAACCCTTTGAGAAAAGTAATCCCAGCATAAGCAACTTATAGCTCCTCTTGAGTGACTTGAGGGCACGGTGAGGGAAGCATTTGGGTAGGAGACTATCAGAACTATCAAACTCTGGGCTAAATTGGGAAGTTGGGAAAATATTCCAGAAGAGGCAATAGCAAATCCCTTTCTTGTTGTTGTCAAGAAATCTGTTCAGGAAATAATCAGCTTAATTTAACAGAATTGGAAGGGACCTTCTAGTCCAGCGGTTCTCAACCTATGGGTCGCGACCCCATTTGGGGTCGATCGACCATTTTTCGGGAGTCGCCAAAGGCGGCGATCCGCCATTTTTCACGGCGCCGCGCATGCGTGTCGCGCATGGGAGCGGTGCCGCACATGCGTGTCGCGCATGGGGCCCCGCCCCATGCGCACGGCACCGCACATGCGCAGAACGTTTGTGTGACGGGGGTCGCCGTCACACAAACGTTGAGAAGCACTGTTCTAGTCCAATCCCCTGCTTAAGCAGGAAACCTTATACCAGCATTCCCCAACCATTCTGGCTTTGTGGACCAATATAGGTGGGGGGAAGAAGAGGAAATGGTTACATGCAAGGGGTGGCAAGCACGCACACGCACAGCTCCATTTGCATGAGCAATGGGCACATGTGCCTGCCACTTGCAAAATGGAGCTGCACACGCATGTGGAGCTGCATGCATGTGCATTCTTACCTGGTTCTGAATGGGCCAAGGCCCCGTAGTGGGCCACAGCCTGGGTGTTGGGGATCCCTGCCCTATACCATTTCAGATAAATGGTTGTTCAATCTCTTCTTAAAAACCTCCAGTGTTGGAGCACCCACAACTTCTAGAGGCAAGTTGTTCCACCCATTAATTGTTCTAACTGTCAGGAAATTTCTCCTTAGTTCTTGGTTGTTTAAGGTAGTCTTTCCACTTAGTATTAAAGAAGTGCTATTATTTACCATGGCATTGCCTCATAGTTGCTTAATATGTTTGCTGATTGTGTTCACAGCTGCTACAGAGTTGATAGGGTCTCCAGAGTATTTTTTATTAGCGACCCCCCCCCTTCTTTAACTTACTATTTATGCTGCTGATTAACAGTGGATATATATTATAAATGTATTTTCTTATCAGAAAGATCCAGTTGTATTAAGCACCATATGACAATTGAGGACACACTGGAGAAATAAAATTCTCCTGGAGATATTAATAAAAGTGTTAACCTAGAAGGACCACATGAATCTGGGGGCTTTTTTCAAAGTAGTGTTTTCAAGTGCCTACCCAACAACTACATTGTCATAAAGTGATTAGGGTTATGAAGGGTGCAAAACAGAACAATATTTTTCTGAAAAAATAAAATGCTTAAAATGTATATGAACCATCTACATTACTTCTTTCTAGTCTCCTCAAAACTTTTTGGTTGAGCAAATAATGGTTTCACATTGATTTGTTTCACATTTGATTTCTTTTTCTGAAAAAAAAACAGTGCTTGAGAAGGAGTGAGTGTGCTGCATAAAAAAACTTGTATTATAGCTTTCCCATTTTCTCTTCAGGGCAAAAGACACCGTGAAGTCCAAGTACAGGACAGGATTGTATTTCTGAAGAGAGGCAGTGAAATTTATTGTCAAACACTTTTGGAAAGCTCAGATAGCCTGATGACATGATGGAGGGCAACCTCTAACTTTTCAGCAATTTTCTTTTCTTTGATTTTTGTTTTTCCACTTGGAATAAAGACTACCAGAGATGTGGCTACCATCTTGACTATTTTGATCATACCCTGTAGAGACCCCCAGCTTCACTCACTGCTAATTTTATCATTAAGTTTAAAACAATTTTATGTTATAAAAAAGAAACAGGACTGGCACTGATTGTTGATAAGCAATTGCTCAAGTTCATCCTTCAGCAATTCCACTGCCAGTTCTTGGAGTCTCCTGACACTGATTTTTGTTCACTGTCTGTTTATTTGGCTGCTTGAAAGATGGAGGGTAGGGATAGACTGAAAAATAACATCTTTCACTGTTTACACTTAAGGATGGAAATAAAATTCATTTTGTCTTTTGTGTATGAATTTACTCAACTTATCTGCCTATATGTGTGTGTATGTAAAACATAAATATAAATAAACACAATTGCATGTGAGAAGTTCATGATGCAATTCACTACTCAAAATTATTTCCACAACATACCATTTTCCACACACTGATCCTTTGTAAAGCAATTTGAACAAAGCCAACTTGTTCTTGGATTCATTTCTGAAATTCTCAAAACATTGAGAATATTCAGAGAACCTCATGAGCCAATTGGTGTGCCTACCAGCTGCCCAGGGGGAGGCCACAAAGCATGGGATTTAATTGGTGCCACATTTTCTAATTTGCTCCCAGTCCAGAATAACAAAAATGTCCTTCCCCGTGCTATGGAAAACTGAGACATGTGACTGGACACCTCCCACTTCCAACTCCGTGCTTATTTGAAGGAAGGCATGAAGGCAGAGTTGGATGGGGAAAGAAAATGGAAACTTCCAAGCTATCTGGCCACTATTCCTTTGTTCTGCTGACAGATAAATGGGGTGATAAGAGCAGTTTTGCACCAAACAAAGGAGACAAGCCCTAAACAATGCCAACAGGCTTTAGGAACCGATAGTCCAGGAGGCAGTTTGAGCAAGAGTTCCCATCATATCAAAAACTGATCCGCCTCCACTTCCAAATTATAGCATTTCAAAGAAATCACATCTTTGTTTTTGTTTCAAATAACCACATTAGAACCAGAAAAAAAGATCTCTGCATTTACATGGTCTAGAATTGGTTCCAAAATGGGGCAACATCTTCAGAAGGTTTAGGGAAAATTATAAAAAAAAGACACATTGAAGGGAAACACATGCATAAAAACATGCATATATTAAGGGAATTGTTCACAAAAACATGCATGCAAAAACTGACTATCAATATTTATATAGGAGTGCCCACAGGTAAAAAAATGAGCAAAGGTAGATATAAAGTTCAGATGAACTTAAAACATGGAAAAATTAGATTTTCCCCATCTCTGCCATCTCCTCCTGGCCATTGGTACAGCTATGATACAAAAGCTATATCTAATTTGTAACTTAGTACAATCACATTAAAAAAAAAAAGATTTTGAAAAGTATCATAATGGTACAGATAGAGAGCAAATGCATGTTTATATTGCAGTATAACAAGGTTATTGAAGCCAGTGTAACTATAGAATGGCTTGTCTATCTGGAGAATGCACTATATATAGCCAATATATATAGCCAACTGGATTCTGCTACATATATCTTTCTTTCCTCACTTACATAGCTAAATGTCACTTGGAAGCAAACCGCAGCTATCTTGCATTCTTTATGCACACACAGTTATAAAAAGGCTGGCTCAGCAGTTCAGGAAAAGACTAGGGCATATTTTTATCATCAAAGAGTCCATGGGATATTGTAAATCATAAGCTGTGAATGCAAATGAGAAAAGAGCTCTTTTACTGCAGAAGACTGTTATACAGACACTGAACTTAAATTGGTAAAAGGTAGAAAAATTTCCATTGTCCACGTTCACTAAATTTCCATATGAGTCAAAACTGCGTCCTGCCCAAATGCTTTCTATATTCAAAAACTGTAAACAGACTCAGCAACCTACCGGTAGCTGATCCCATTATTTCTTTTCTTTTCTTTCTTTCTTTTTGAACTCTTAATAACAAGCCCTTGGGTCACATAATACATGTCATTCTCAAATATTGTGCAAGATATCTTGATACCTTTTAAATAATTAAACTCAGTATTAAAGAATTAATGAAATAAAGTTCTTCCAGGTGACTCATAGTCAGCACTGGCAGGGGCATCCGCAAAAGAATTTTAGAAAGTCAAGGTGGCTGCCACAATCACAAGACTGAAGCCTCATTCATTTGTACAGGTAGTCCTTGACTGACCACAGTTCGTTTGGTGATTGAAGTTACAATGTTGCTGAGAAAAGTGACTTATGACAGTTTTTCACACGACCGTTGCAGCATCCCCATGGTCACACGATCAAAATTTGGAGGCTTGGCAACTGGTTCATATTTATGACAGTTGCAGTGTCCGGGGATCATGTGATCATCTTTTGCAACCTTCTGACAAACAGAGTCAATGGGAAAATTAGATTCACTTAACAACCGTGTTACTAACTTAACAACTGCAGAGATTCACTTACCAGTTATAAAATGGGGCAAAATTCACTTAACTGTCTCATTGAGCAAGAGGTCCTTCACTTATATTTCTTCATGTAATGTTGAAATCTGCCAGTTAAAAATATGTTAATGATATATGAGAAGTAGATACAATTGAAATGAAGTTCCTTGAAGCACGCGATCGGCTCCAAGATCTTTTTTATTATTAAAAAATAGGCTTTTTGCCCTTTCATATCATAATCTGCTCCTGGCTTCCAGTTTCATTTTCTTTATTTCAACAGACAAACTGAAGGAACTGACAAAGCTTTTTTATTGTAAGTGTTTTTAAAATGCTTTTATTTATTCTATTAACTTTCATATTGCCCCATTATGAGACCCTGTATAGTTTACAGCAGACACGTCAAACTCACAATGTCATGTGACATCATGCAATGTATCGGGACACTTTTGCCATTGCCGGCAATGGGGTGGGCGCAGCTTCTGCATCTGGCCCACGGGCTGGCAGTTTGACACCCCTGGTTTACAGCAACACCAATCAAATAAAAAAATACTATAAATTGTTAGCATATAAACTAATTAACAACAAACTTATTTGTAAAACAGTGGAAACCCTTTTGTTCCTCAAAGCAGTTGCCCGATCTCTAATTCCCATATACCCAGCAAAATGTTGTCCTGTTGTCCCATTACAAAGTCTAATCAAGCAGTAATTGAAGGACTGCTGTTATTCTGTGGTCCCAACTGTTCCCCACCCACAGACAGCATTTAAATCTATGCCAAGTACAGTTTCTAAGTAGTTCCCTAAAGAAGCTCCAGCTGAGCATGTTAGAGAGATGATAAGGACACATGTCGTTGTCCAAGTGTTTCCTGATCCACAATGGTTGCCATTTGTGCACCAGCTATATCTGGGCAAGACCTCTTAATTGCAAACTTCCTTGAGATTGAATGGGACTCCATCCAGAGTGATTGTAGGAGTTGGAATCAAACAAAGGTATTTATTTACAAACAGTATTTCCATTTTTCTGAGGTTCAGTTTCAGTCTTTAGTATCTGAACAATAACCTTTAAAGCAAAGCAGTGTGTTGGTTTATGAAACCCCTCCTTCACAGCCAGAAGAGTTGTAATCAGTTTTCCCAGCATAATATTGAAATAGTTGATTAAACTTCATCTGCTTCATCTTCGTTTTTGCTTACCACATAACTTGCAAAAAAAAAAGAAGAAACTTTGCCAGGAAAAGAAAAAACTTGGCAAATTTATAAAGGATCCATTCCATTTCCTGAGACTTGCAAGCCAGTACGCTATCTAACTAAATTACTTCATTCAGCGCAACCTAAGATCATGTGAGGGTAGAGAGAGAGGGAGAGGGAAGGTCAGGCCCCATTTCTTATTTGTTATTACCAATTTTGCCTTTATCATTCTAAGTGAAAATTAGGCTGTGTATTAACTATTATCATAATTGAACTCTTGATTTTTTTTTTAAATCCATCTCAGCTGATATTTTGTGGTCTGTTCATTTAGGGACTTCTCCCCACAACCTTTCATTCATATTCTTGATACCGCAGATCCTCTTGGATTCTTTAGGCCTCTCTGGCTAGGAGGGCCATACTTCCTCTGGTAAGTGCTCTGGGTGGGATTGGAGAGAGAGGATAGGTTGAAGAAGAGGAGTAGAGAGTACAGAATAAGGGTCTAACTCAGAATTTTTCAGAAGACTAAGCTCATATTATCCAAGATTGGACTTCTTCAATGGAGCTTGCAGCAAAATCATGGTAATGACTTTTCTTAGATTCCTCTTAACACATGCTCAGACCAATGTTTGCCCTAGATTATCCCTTGACCCACTAATGAATTTGGATAGATTCAACTATTACTAGCACTTACTCTTATATACACATAAGGCACTTAAATTAGCTACTAATACATCAAGGAAGCTAAGAATAAAGCATCATAATCTACCTAATATGCAGAACCCCTCAGGTCTCCCTTGCTTGGTTGAAATGAAAAAGGTTCACCTTTTATTGAGTTCTATGGCAGAAATCAATAATGTTTAAATTACAGGAAATCAATATATTAATCTTACATCTTAACAACTCACTGACAGATTTTTCATTTATTTCTTAATATGACCATCTGGGGTTTCTCTTTATTCATCTTAAATGGTAGGGGTTAAGGCATAAGGCTAAAAACCAAGTGACTGTAATCCTGCCTTAGGCATGAAGCCAGCTGAATGACTCTGAATCAGTTTATCTTTTCTCAACCCTAGGAAAAAGGCAATGGCAATCCTCTTCTGAAATTTTGCCAGGACAACTGCAGGAACTAGTCTAGGCAGTTTCCAGAAATCAATATTTATTTAAAGGAAAAGAAAAGAAAAAGAGAGAAGAAAGAAAGAAAGAAAAAAAGAAAGAGAAAGAAAGAAAGAAAGAAAGAAAGAAAGAAAGAAAGAAAGAAAGAAAGAAAGAAAGAAAGAAAGTTCTTTAAATGATTTCAATGTCTTTATGAGGAAATGAAGGTACCGGTAACTATAATTTTCTGTGATCTGATACATATTTTTTTCAGAAACAAGTTCTGCTGTATTCAGTGTGATGTAATGCTACATAAGCGTAATTAGATTGCAACCTTAAATTAACAATATATTACCACCTTCTACAATAGCTATGCTGCTGTTCCTGAATGAAAGGATCATAATTTGTTTAAAAAATGAGAACTGTAAAATACACAGGAAAGGTTTCCTCTGAATTTTTTTTGAGAACATGTGAATTATGGTGCAACTACATTTTCCTACAGTTGTTAAAAATGTCTGTTTGTCACTAACATTTGTTTGATGCATATTTTTGTAAGTTTGAGAGCTTATAGAAAAAGACCATAATATTGCATTAATATTACCAGTGAAAACCAGAGAACAAGCTACAAAGGGTGCAAGATGAATTGAATTGAAATTGCATAGCAATACAACTTGGGCTTACAAAGATGACAGTCTTTGTGACTACACTTCTATAATATATTCTAATTCTCTTTCATGCAATGTTGTTTGTTTCTATTAAAACTTCATTAAAAGTAGAGCATAGCTTACACAACCATGACAGAGGCACACCTCTTTCTTCAGCTGGAGCACCTTGTAATTAAAATAAGAGCCATAGCTGAGGAATATGGCGGGGCTGTCAGGCAGGTTTCCACTATAACTACAGAGGTTCAGAGGGAGTTTCATTAAGTATTGGATTACTGGCCAAATGAGCAAAGATGAGACAGGTAACTAGCATGTTTATGAAAGATGCATGGAACACCTTCTTAGCAACTTGAAAAATAAGATATATATGAAAAGATATGTTGGTCTTAAATTCTGTGATCCTAGATTCTTCTTCCATTATCATGGTGATATGGGAGTTACCACGATTGTTTCCCATAAACTCAGGTCATGTAAGAGATCCTTCTACTAAGGTTTTGTCCCATGCCAATATTCTCTGAGTTCCTGGAAGACTAACAACGAAGAGGGGGAAAGTTGCAAGGTACATTCCTTAGAAATCATGTGAAGCTTTTCATGTAATACTGGACAAATCGATGCTGCTACAACTGTTCCCACAGTGGTAGTCAGTATAAGGAGAAGACTTGCATCTCATACAATTCCCAGGCCTTTTAATATTTCCTCAATCATCTGGCTTGCTATTTCTGAATTAGAAGACATAAAATATTTTTGACTTAATCTTACTCCCACAAGCAGATGATCTCCAAAGTCCCTTCTAACCCTTTAATTCTTAGTATATTGATGCTTCTACACACCTTCCCTTGAAACCCTTAATATCCTTTATCTAGTCTTCTCCTCCATCGTAGATGATCTTCTTCAGTGGGTTTGATATGGCACTAACGGGTACACTGGCTCTATTCACAAGACATATATGAAAAGGTACAGCACAATGTTACAAGATTCTGTTATAGTCAATCTCAATAAAATTCATTTTAGTCTTTCTGTAGAATTGATGTCTTGGTCTGGTCTGTCCACAGGTAGTGCTCACTTAATTACCACAATTGGGATGGGAATCTTGGTCGTTGAGCAAAGCAGTCATTAAGTGAGATGTCAGATAATTGCTTCGCTCAATGATTACAACTCTGGCACTCCTGGTTGTGGGCATTAAATAATTTTGTGAGTGATTAATCCTCTTAGGGAAAATCAGAACACTCTGAGAAGGTCCGCTTGGGAGTTGAAAATCCTACTGAAATCCAAGAATTTTCAGCCCTTGAGGAAGAGACACTAATGTATGCCCTCTATTGGGCTTCCCAGGATCTCCCACACCTTCTTGAAGCAGCTCACACTCCTTTCCTTGCCTCCTTTCAGAAATCCTGTTTAAAATTCCTTGAATGATTTGTACACAGCTTCAGCACAAAATGTAATGCTTCCCATACTCAGGAGGTTTATATATTGAATGCTTGATGTGTAAACATGTATATACCCATGTGGCCTCTGACCTTACAATTCATACAACCCAAGGATGGAAAACATCTGCACATTAGCACAATTCATATTTTATAAATTATTACAGTAGACATGACATTGAAACCATGACATACTGATGTTTATAGTCCAGTATAGAACTCCAGATAGGAGAAAGTCATTTTACCCAAGAAAATGTTGTTCAGAAGTTTTGTAACAAATGGGTTGTCTACATATATTACTTCACAAGGTAACTGCACAAACTGTGGCTGTTAAGCAACTTGTCCAGTACTGTATTACAAGATGACTAAGTAAGAAACTGAAACCAGGCCTTAATTTGCGTAATACCACTCTCCTGTTGCAAGTTTGATTTTGAGTTTATATTTAAACTTAGTTCTGGGTATGTTTTAAAAGAATGTTTGCTTTAAGGATTAGGATAGTTGCAGTGTATATTAAAAGTCATGGAACCCTTCAGCAAGTCTAACAATGAAAAGTTTATGTTTATTTTTTAGTGTTACCTTCTTGCTAAATTCAACATTAAGGCAAAATGAAATGGACCCTCCCTCACTCTCAAACTTGGTGCCATCCAGGTTTGTTAGACATGTTGCTGGAAGTTGTATGATTGTAGTCTCAAAATATCTAAATGGCACCAGTGTGAAAAGGTTGAATATATATATAGGAAAACTACTTTGACTAAAAAATCCTAAAAATTTAGAAACCAGATGGCAATGGAAGGGGAGGAACTATAGCTTCATTTCAGTTTCTTTTAAGTTGCTAGATGGGTTTTGTGCTTTACAAACCATTGTAAAGACAACAATTTTCACAAGTGACATGACTAATTTACCATTTACAACACTAGAGGCATTATTCAAGAAGCGCTCTTAACATTCACACAATTTAATTCCATAAGGCCTTATGAAAAGCAATGAACCCAGTTCCTGGGGAAATTTCCAATTTCCTTTGTAATAAAAGTGTAAGCTTGGAAGGCTGGAAAAGTATACCATATTATCTCTACAATATTATTCTGAGAGATCGAATGATAATTTATATTAAATTTTATTCTAGTTTCACTTGAAAATATTTATAGAATTATAAGGTTGACTCAAACATTGAAACAACCATAAAATAAATCAAATGATTCTGTACCTTTTATCTTGCTATTTATTCTTGTTTCAATCTCACACCAGGGCAAAATTCAAATTTCATTGGAGGAAATGATGGGAGAAATCTGAAGCAGGATGATTGTTTTCAAGATTAAAATTCTGTGGCTTTATGATTTATTGTACATGGATTGATTTGTAAACACCTGAAAATGTGCTAATTACCAGAAGTTATTACAGATTTGTCAAAAACATATTTTGTGAGATTAATTCTCTATCTTGTATGATAGGGTATGGTTCTTAACAGAGGTTTGAGATACTGTAGATCTACTGTATTTTAACATCAGAAAACATTGGTCAAAGAAATCCATAATGTGCAAATTACCAGCTAATTAAGTGTGGGATGAATGTCAGTGACAAGCGGATTTGTAGCAAGCTCAACAAATCTATTTAAAAAGTGCTCAACAGTAATTCACCACCAAATTGGAGAGCAGAATCAGGTAGGGTGCCACAACAACCAGTATGGGGCCTCTCCTCTTTAATAACTTCATTAGTTATTTGGGCAAAGAAAAGAATGCAATTTGTAGATTATACATTATCTGGATGCATGCGTAAGGGAACTTCCTGCTTTCTTTAAAATGTTGAAAGCAGTGTTAGGCTGTTCCTGTGCAATCTCCACCCTTCTGGATCATATATGCAATGTCATAATGCATGTGCAAAGGGCTGGGGCTTGCACTGCAGTGGCACAAGGCTGATTTTGTTATTCTCCTCTCCTTGAAGAGACTGCTGTTTGGCTAAGATAGCTAATAGCTATATTTTAACAGTAATTGATTATTGAAATAAGTTCAAAGATGTATTTTTTTTTAGAGGAATGGGATGAAAATAGCAGAGCCAAATTTAACACAGACAACTGCAAAGTTCTTCACTTACAAAACACAGATCAAATGGCAATTATTGGCTGGGATATATACATCTTTAAAAGGGTACTTGGTGAAAAAGGTTTTGGAATAGATGATAGCAAACTGAATTTGAGCTGGGAGTGGGCTATGGCAATACAGTTTTAAAATAGATACACAAGAATGTAATTTACAAGTCACTGGGAATAATTCTTTCCCTTCCTCCTGACTGATCAGGCCCCATACTGAACACTGGATGCAGTTCTGGGCATCACCCTTTAAGCTGGATTCAGAGGAAAGTAGAACAAGTTCAGAGAAAGGCAATAATCAGGGCATTTGAAACTAAGATCTGTGAAGAAAGATGGAAGGGGCTGGGTACTTTTGGCCTTTAGAAAAGATGATAAGTAGGAGAACGAGAGGAAGTATGATAGCACTCCTCAAATACCAGAAAGAACTTCAGATTAAAAGGGTAGGACCTGTTTTCTCTTGTACCAAAATACAGGAAAAGGAATAAGGAGCTTAAATTACAGCAAGGGAGATACGATTGAATGTCTATAAAAATCCTTAATGATAGACAGTGGAATCAATTGCTCAGAAAAATGGTGGGCTTACTTTCATGTGCTTAAGCAGAGACTAGGCAACCATCTCGCTGGGTTCAGGTTAGACTCAAGACAGAAGAAAGGTTAAAGCTAATAATCTAAATAACCTCTTCAAATTCTCTGGTGCTAAGATTATTTGAGGTTGAAAAATGGACAAAATAAATGTAGAAAATTTGCAAGAGATATTTTTTGCAAAATTTCCTATATAGTTATAGTTAATGATACCAATAGATGAGAATAGGTGTAGTTCAGGGTTGAACTGTGAGGTCCTTGGTGCTCTCTAAGCATGGTTGTTTTCTTGCAGACATTTCATTACCCAACTAGGTAACCTCACCAATGCTAGCATATAATTAATGAATCATCATTTGTGTGGGGAAATTGACACAACTTGTGTACGTGCCTCACATCTTATGACACTAGTAATAAGTTGAATCCTTTGCCAAAGTACCTTATGACGCATCTTTTATTTTGATGTCATCATAGTTGTTTAC